ATTTGTATTTCTCTGATAATTAGTGTCTATCAATATGTTAAATGCATATACCCTTTGACTATCAATGCAATACTACGACATCATCAAATAGATGCCTTCACGTAAGTGTGAAAATACGTAAGTCCAAAGATACCCCTTGCAGCATGGTTTGTAATGATGAAAAATTAGACACAATCTGAATGTTCGACAATGGAGGACTAATGAAATAAGTTAAGGTACATGTGATGGCAGGCAGAATAATGAGCCCTCTCCAAGCACTTTCACATCCTAGTCTTTGAAACCTGAGAATGTTACCTCAAGTAGCAAAAGGGACTTTGCAGGTGTGATTAAATGAAGGATCTTGAAATGAGATTATCTTGGATTACTCAAGTGGGCCCAATGTAACCAAAAAAGTCTTTATAAGAGGGAGGCAGATCAGAAAGAAGGCAATTATGATATCTAAAGCATAGATTGGAGTGATTTGGGACCACAAGCCAGGAATTGGGTGTCCTCTAGAAGCTAGACAAGGTAGTAAACAGATTCTCTCCTTTAGCCACAGACAGAATGCAGCTCAGCCAACCCATTTCATACATTTTTTTTTTTTTGGTTTCCATTACTTTATTTTTTTATATATATAAACTTTTTTATTGAATTATAGTCATTTTACAATGTTGTGTCAAATTCCAGTGTAGAGCACAATTTTTTAGTTATACATGAATATACATACATTCATTGTCACATTTTCTTTCACTGTGAGGTTTTTTAATTTAAAATATTTATTTATTTATTTATTTATTTATTTATTTATTTATTTATTTTTTGTTGGGGTAGCTAATTAGGTTTGTTTTCTTTTTTAATTTTAGAAGACGTACTGGGGATTGAGCCCAGGACCTTGCATTTCAGACTTCTGAACTTCAATACTGTAATATAAATTTGTATTGTTTTAATCCACTGAGTTTGTGGTAATTTGTTATAGCAGCAAGAGGAGACTAATACACATATGTACCAGAAAATTATGCAGCTGTTTTAAAAGGATGAATTAGAACATGTGCACATTTAGAAAAACAACCCAGTATTTAAGTTTTTGTTCTAAAGGAGCTGGCAACCCAACTTAGGAGACAAGGCATGCACATGGGAAAGGGAAGAATGTAATTACTACCAAGAAAGTAATGTGGAAACCTAAAATGAGCTTAGACGTCTCATTACTGGCCTCTTTACTACGAACATAATCTGAAAACATTCATCTTTGGAAGTTGGTCTATCAAAATGCCAACAGAAATAAACATCAAAATAGCATTTATAGTTTTAGTATTGCCATTTATTTAGCAGTAATCGTAGGTCAGGATATTTACCTATTTTATTTCATTTATCTTTGGACCAGATCTGTCGATGAGGTTTGTCCTTGTTTTACAGCTGAGGAAATTGAGGCTCAGTCAACATAAGTGATCAAACTATGTCTATCTGACCCCCAAATGCATACTCTTAACTGTTATTTTAAATTGTATTCTGCTTGGGTCTCAGAAACAACTCTGAATAAAAGACTATGATGGTGAGTTGTAGAGGGGCTTTATAATATATCTTCTATCTCCTTCTGACTTCGTTTCCTATCACCTGCCCCCTTGTTCACTCTGTTCAGTTCACATTTCTTGGTGTTTCTCAAAAGCTCTAATTTTTTTCTAATTTAATAATTTTCTAATTGCTCTTCTCTCTCTGCTTGGAATGCTCCCTGATTTTTATGTCTTATTCCCTCACATCATTCAGATCGCTGCATAAATGTCAGTTCTTCAGAGTGAACTTCTTGACTGCCTAACACAAAACACATCCCATAAGCACCTCCACTGCAGTCCCATTAATGACTCTATCCTGTCCCCTTAGACTGTTCAGTCCTTCATTGCACTTGTTACCTCTGATGTTAGGTATTTATTTTCTGTCTGCCTCCCTCAGTAGAATGTCAGCTTGTTCACTGCTATATCCTCTGGCCTAACACATGGCCTATAGTGCTCAATGACTGTTTGCTGAATTCGTTTTAAGACTTTTTAACGCCTAGGCATCTCTTTCTTGCTTGTTTCACCTTACACTATATTAAAGATATCAAAGTACACCTACATCCCATGTTAACGTCATACAGAAAAATAGCTAACATTTATTGAGCACTTATTTTGTTTGAGGGCTCTTCTTAGTGCTTTACAAATACTTGTTTAATTCTCACAACCCCATGAGGTAGATATTATTGTCCCACGCTACAGATGAGTAAGCCAAGGCCAGATTTTCTTAACTTGTCCATGGTAAAATAGCTAGTAAGTGACAGAGTGGCATTCAAACCCAAACACTCTGACACTAGAACTCCTAATACCACAAAATTGAGTTGAGGATGACTTGTTGACCTAGAATTATGCATTGTAAACCATTTATTTGAATAGTTATTAATCTCAGGGTTGTTTTGTTTGTTTTTTGTCTTCACTTCTTTAGAGCTCCTTTAATTTCTTACAATGTTTTGGCTTTTCAGAATATAAATTTTGAACTTCTTTTGTTAAATTTATTCCTAATTTTTATTCTTTTTGATGCTAGTGTAAATGGAATTGTTTTCTTAATTTTATTTTCAAATTGCTCATTGCTAGTGTATAAAGTACAATTGATTTTTGTTCATTAATCTTGTATTGTGAGCCTTATTGTGCTCTAACTAGCACTAGATTTTTAAAAATATATATATTCCTCAAAATTTTCTATATACAAATGTATTAGTTCTCTAGGGTTGCTGTTAACAAAGTACCACAAACTGAGTTGTTTAAACTACAGAATTTATTGTCTCACAGTTCTAGAAGTTAGAAGTCCAAGGTCAAGGTGTCGGCAGGGTTGGACCCTTCTGAGGGCTGCAGAAGAGTCTGTTCCAGGTTCCTCTCCTTGATGTATAGTGGTCTCCTTTCTATGTCTCTTCATATTGTCTCTGCATGCAAATTTCCTCTTTTTTTAAGGAATCAGTCATATTGGGTCAACCCTAAAGATCTCACCTTAGCTTGATTACCTCTGTAAAGACTGTTTGCAAATAAGGCCACATCGTGTAGTGCTCAAGAATAGGATTTCAATATATTAATTTTTCTTTGTGGGCTTTTTCTTTTATTCAATCATGCCATCTATGAATAGAAATGGTTTTACTTCTTCCTCTCCAACCTGGATTCCTTTTATTTCTTTTTCTTGCCTAATCACCCTGATAGACGTGCAGTACAGTGTTGAATAAAAGTGGCAAGAGTGGACATCCTTACATTATTCTATCACCTTCCTCCTACATTTTTGGTTTTGGTAGAGCACCGGGCACCATCTAAAATTATCTTAAGTAAACAAATAAACCGAATTACCCCCCCCCAAAAGAAACAGAAAAGGAAAACGGAAACACAAGTTCATGCTGTATAACACACGGAACTCTGATATCTTGTAGTAACTTACGGTGAAAAAGAATATGAAAACAAATATATGTAAGTTCAAGTATGACTGAAGCAATGTGGTGTACACTAGAAATTGAATCATTGTAAACTGACTATACTTCAATAAAAATATATAAATTTAAAGTAAAAAAATTATTTATTATTTATTTTAGGAAGAATGAATAAATAACTTCTTAGGATCACTGCCCCACTTCAGACCAGTTTCACCTCTCACCCAGATTACTGTCACATTCTCTATGACTTGCCTCTAAGCTTCCACCAATCCACTGTTCACCCTGGAGCCAAAGTGATTCTTCTAAAATTTAAATCTAATTTAGCTCCATATTTACACCTCTGTGACCTTGGGGGTAAAGTACCTCAACTCCCTTAAGCCGCCTTTTCTTCAGCTATATTAACAGGGTGATGATAATGGCAGTAAGTCACATGTTAGTAGAGATAAGCGATGTAAAACCTAGTACCTCGTCTGGTACTCAATAAATGCTCCGTGGATGTCTGCTATTATTTTTTCCTTTTAATAGTAGCATAATAATAGTAATAACTTAACATTACTAGTAACTTCTATATGCCAAGCTGTGTTTTAAGTGCAGCCAGTGGAAGTTTGAGCCTTGTCCAAAGACATGCAAGTAGGCAGTGGCGCTGATGGAAAATGAACCCAAGCACTGGGTTCTTAACCACCTATACTCTTATTTGCGTTATTCTCTAATCGCCCTTTTAAAACTCTCCTGTTGCTTCCCAGAGACTTCAGCATGAAATCCAATCCCTCAGACTGCTCTAGAATCTCCAGAAGTCGCCTTTGCCAGCCGCCCTAGGATTCTCTCTTGCTACCAGCCCCTTCACTACGAGCTCCAACACTACTACCTCTAGCTTTTTTCCGGTGCTCAGCCTCAAAGACTTGCACTTCTTGCGCCCTTGGTGAGGCGCCTTCTCCACTTCCCTTGTTCCCACTGACGCTTTAGGAAACTTCCTTGATACCCCCAAAGACCGCCAAATTCCTGTAATCCGTTCCCCTCCTCTGAGGTCCCCCAGCACCTCGTAAATCACCATTTAAAATTAAAAAAAATTTTTCCATCACCGCGCTGACCACGATGCATCGTCTGTTTATCTGTCACCAATATGTGAGTTACAAGGCAGACTGCGACTTCTTTGACTTAATAGTAGACAAACGTTCAGCACTTACTACAGAAAGGAGTAATCCGGCATGAAAACCTGGGGGCTGTCTCAATTATCCTTTACTTGTGGTTAATTGTTTGTACTTAATTACGCTGATAAACTTTAAAGTTTTGGGATTTTTTTCCCATCAATTCGGGAGTGTCTTGGCGTACCGAGGTCACCCGTCCTTTACGAAGGAAACAAAACCGGAGGGATTAGCGTCCTTTACGAAAGAAACAAAACCGGAGGGATTAGCACGCCCAGCGAGCGAGAGCCGAGACTACTCGCACCAACAAGATGGCGATCCCCGCTCCCCCCCGCCCCGTAGCCGCTAGTCTCCACCCACTCAAGGCGGAGGCCTGCGTCATGTGACCCTGCCCTGCCTGGCACCGCCTCCGAGCCGCAGTGCCTGACGGGAGACAGAGCAGCGAGCGAGAGCGTCGGCCATTTTGTGGCTGTTTCCTGTGGGACGCGGTGGTGGCGGTTGGATCGGAGGAGTGAGCGAATTTCGACTCGTTTTTTCTGCTTGTTTTATCCTCCTTTTTTTTTCTTTTTTCGGTAGAGGGCAGTTATGGGACGCAAAAAGAAGAAGCAGCTGAAGCCGTGGTGCTGATATCCTTTGTCGGTTTGAAGTCGAGGCCGAGCGGGGGCGCCGGTTGGTGGTGACTGGGACGGGGAGGCCTGGCTTGGGCCTATGGCGGCGGGTGTCCGGGATCTAGGCCTTGGGTTTGGTGGCTGGAGGTGGGTTTGGGAAGGCTTTTCGGAAAACGGAGTCCCTTGGGCGGGAGATTCTGGCCGTTGAGGGTCGTGGGACTCCGTGACTCAGGAGGTTCTTGCTTCGGTGCGAGCGTTGACTCTCCGGGAGGCGGCTTGGACCCTTTTCAGCAAGGACAGTGTCCCTGAGGACTTTTGCCACACTCCGTTGTTTTGGTGACGATTCAACAAAGGGACTTTTCCTCGAGCAAAATATGCTAATTGACTTTGGAGGATTAGGGGAGAGCTTCCGGAGTCACTCACTTTTTCCGTTCTTTGTAGAATCGGTGGTTTAGTAAAGGCTTACGTTGGTTAACCCTGAGTTAGACCCCCCCCCGGCCTTTTTTTTGGGGGGGGGCGGTGGATGGGAGTTAGCTTCCGCGTCTCACCCACTGGCGCCTTGATTTCAAGGAGCGTTCTCTTACAGGGTGGGGTTTCTTGCTATCTTTTTACCTGGCTTTGTTAGACTGAAAAAAATGCCTCCTGTTACTTAGTAAAATAAAACGTGGCGTCCTCTTAATACTTTTTTTCCCCCAGAGTCGGTAATATACGTTAAAATTGATTTTATTTACTGTCTTGTACCTAAAAACGGTTTATTACAGAACTGCGTTTATTTCTATAATAGTTGAAAAGTGATTACGGATTTTGTACTTTAAAAAAAATGACTATCGAGGTAAGAATTCTCAGAATCATTAATGTAACTCGTCTCTGAGTTGAAATACATTGCTTGGCAGCATACATTCATACGGAATTGCAACCAACTTTATGGATTGTTAATAGAAAATTGTCTTTTTTTTTTTTTACTATGAACTTATTTTCAGATTCTAATAATGTAAATGTTAAGTTTTAAATATGAGGTAAATTTTTACTATATCTAATTCTTGAAATTTTGTTAACATAAACTTTGGTTTTGTTTTATCAGTGAACCCTTCCAGTTAACAGTATGCGTTTGTAAATGTTGAAATAATGAACTAAAGAAACGTTAATTTCACAAAAATTTCTGTTAAACGTGGGAGTTTGACAACTACATTGCTTACTATGGTGGTTATTTAGGAGTGGTGAAGCTGTATTATGGGCCTCCAGGACATTGAAGATTCTGAAATTATGTGGCAGGTTAATCCGTAGTGAGTATAATAAATATAAACAGCGAAGTTTATATAAAGTATTCAAAGAGGTTTTAGCTGTTCCCATTTTTAGTGTTACCATTATTCTCTTTCATGATTTATTTTTTTATACAGTGTCATTATTTTGCGATTTTTATGCCTTAACAGTAGTGATTAGGTATTGTAATAGAGATTTTGATGATGAGAAGATCCTTATACAGCACCAAAAAGCAAAGCATTTTAAATGCCATATATGTCATAAGAAATTGTATACAGGACCTGGCTTAGCTATTCATTGCATGCAGGTAAGGAGTTTTCTTCTGTATTTAATTTTTGCTTTCTTGTTTGGAAACAAGGTGTGTGCCCGGGTTGGGGGGAGTCTTGAATTTCTCTTTGATAGCTGTAGGGTTTTTTTGTTGCTTATTGCAAAGGATTAGATAAGATAACCAGTCAGCTTTAAAAATAAGAAAACCTGTTTCTTAGCCATTGAAATAAACAGTTGATTTTTAATGTTTACAGAGAATTTATATCAATATCTTTCAATTATGGATAAGGTCTTTCATCCTAGGTTAGGTGGATGACAGTTTGGTTGAGATCATAAAGTATTTCCTCGGTACTTGGAATACAGAACAAGGATCAGTGATTAAATTTTGTGGGCTGTGTGACCAATTCTAATCCCATAAGAATTAATCCATAATTAACTGCTATTACTCACTGCCTTTTTCAAGGATTTGTTATTACCAGTTGCCTGGGGCTAGGCTTATTTCAAGCATCTATTTTATGGACCTCTTTTGGAATGGTAGCATGGTGTCTCGTTGAATAATTTCTAGGTTTCTTGAGTTCTTTACTACGTAGGGAGAGCTTTGTAATTTATACTTTTAAAGATCAAATAGGTACGTTTATATCTTACTCAACATTGTTCTACTTTTGTGAGTCCCTGAGCTGCCTGAATTTTTGCCTAATTGAACCCTAGAGAGCTGTGAGATGGGCAAATCCTTATTCATTGAAAACTACTGTTGGTAGGAGGCAGGGAGGTAAATTTAAAACCAGACATTGCTTCCCCAAGTTTAAAAGGAAGTTTATTTAGATCTTTTTCACTCCAGTAATTTTACTATAACAACAATTTAATATCCATGCAGAAATATGACAGGCTGCTGCATGCTGGACCCACAGTTTTCCACTGTGGCAGTCACTAGTTACATGTGGGTATTTAAGAGAAAATTTAAAAATTCAGTTCCTCAGTCACATAGCCACATTACCAGTGCTCAGCCACATGTGGCTGGTGGATGACTATTGAATAGTAAAGATAACAGAACATGACCATTTACCAAAGGAAGTTTCTGTGAGTGTTTTAGGAACTGATTATACAGCAGTGAATAAAACAGTTACCTTTGTGGAGTTTAGATTTGCATTGTGGAGGAAAATAACCTATAAATATTTAGTTTGTCTTACATTGATAGTAATAGAGAAAACTAAAACTAGGTAGGGGGTGTAGGGGAGGGCCACAGCATAGTTAGGAAAGGCCTGAATGAGAAGCTGACATGTGAGCAGAGAGCTGAGAGGAAGTGAGGGAGAGATTTCTGGGAAGAGCCAATGAAAGACCTTCACATCAGGAGCATTCTCCCATATTGAGGGAAAGCAATGTGCTACTTTTATATAGGAGGGCTTGCAGGCTATTGTAGGCCATTTTCTTTACATTTGAATGAAATGGGAGTTTTAATTGAGATATATAGCATGCTTTGGTACATTTTACAGTCATTTTGGCTGCAGGGTTGAGAGTAGACTGTAGAGTGCAGTAAGACCACTTAGGAGACTGGAGTATTCCATCTTACGGGTGAAAGTTGATGGTGGCAGAAACCAGAGTTTGCTCATGGGTTAGATGTGGAGTATGAGAGAAAGTGAGTGAAGAATCTAAAGGTTTTTGGTTTGAGCAATATGAAAAGTGAGTTACCTCGTCTGTGTCTGTGGATTCAACCAACTGCAGTTGAAATTCTGATTGAAGTTCGATTGGTTGAATCCACTGGTGTGAAATCTGTCGATCGAGAGGGCTAACTATACTATGCCCTTTTATATAAGGGACTTGAGCATCCTTGGGATTTGGTATGGAAGGGTATTCCTGGAACCAGTACCCCATTAATAGGGAGGGACGACTATATGGAAATGTGGAAAGCTACGGGAAGAATAGGCTTAGGGATGAGGATATCAAGATCATTTTATGTTAATTTTGAGGGTGAGTATGTCAGTTTGGAGACTGTTGAATATCCAGATGGAGATGTCATATAAGCAACTGAATCTACAAGTCTGTAGTTCAGAGAGGTTGAAACTGAAGATAGAGATTTGGAAGGATACAGTATAAGGATAGTATTTTAAACTAAGATACTAGATATCCTTCTTAGGGAGTAAAATATAGATGAAAAAGAGATGCAGGAACTCTGCCTTGGGCCACTCCCAGCATTTAGAGGTCCAAAGATGAAAAGAAACCTATCAAGGAGATTGAAAATGTGGGCAAACCAATTCAGTAAGCGCAGCTAACAAGTAAGCGCAGAACTAAGATTGGATCAAAGTGGAGGTCATTGGTCACTTGCCAAGAGTGATTTCCTAGAATGATGAGGCTGATTGGAGTGCTTTCAAGAGAAAATGGGTGGGAAAGTAGAGGCGCCCTTTCAAGGAGTTGTACTGTAGGGAAGTGCAGAGAAATAGGGTGGAAGCTAGAAGGAGATTAAACAACGTCTTAACTTTATTTTTATGTTCTTAATATAACTTCACAGCAACCTGTGAGATAGGCATGGCTGTTAAGTCATGTTAACATGTTAAGACGTGCTCCAGTTCTATATTTGATTAGCCTAGGGCATTAGTAATTTAGATGTTTCACATCAGTACTAGCTCCTATCTTTTCAACCAGGACTGTATTTTTACTAGGCAAGATTCTAAGAAATCTAACTCTGGCTGTACCATAGTGTTGGGACGATTTTAAGTAAATTGTTATTTTCCTTCTCTTTCCAGTATCTTTTAATTAATTTAATCCCGTTCTTACCACTTAGAAATGTAATGAAAACTAATGTGTATGTGAATGTAATTATTTCTTTAAAGGACATATGAGTTACTTCATCTGAGTTTATCAGGAAAAGTAATACTTAAAAGTATCAAGAAAAGTTTTTTTTTCCAAAAAACTTAGGAATTGGTGATTAAGTCTCTTGTTGAATAACTGTTCATGGATCTTTTAATCACAGTAAGATAATTTCTAAATTTTTGATTTGCATGTCGCTGTTTAAAATCTTTGAGGTACATCTCTAAGAAGAAAACAGTTTTCTTTAGTTACCTGTTTTTTCCATGAAAGTGTCTAGGAAGGAAAGAAAAATTGAGTATTACTTTGACAGATACATCCAAGTCATTACGCTAAATAAGTGGTTCTCAAGCTTGAGCAGGCATCAAAATCACCTTGAAGGCTTGTTAGGTAGATTCCTGTTTCTACCCAAGAGTTTCCAATTCAGTAGGGCTCACGTGTAGCCTGAGAATTAGCATTTCTGATAAGCTTCCAGGGGTTGCTGATATTCTAGGCAAAATATTTGGACATACTTTAACCTAAGTTAATGCTTTTTGCTGAAGAAGCCCAAGACTGACAGGGATTTTACCATATTGACAAAAGTTACCTACATTTGAGGGAACGTTAGATCTAACAAAAAACATACAGTGAAAAAAGTCCTAGATCTCCAGGTTTCAAGAACTTCTTTTCATGACCTACCAAATAAATTCAGCTAGATAGTGACAGGATCACTATTGTGGTAATGTTAAGCACCTCAGATGATTATGGGTAATGAAATTGTAAATGTCACTTTTATGATTTGTAACCTCAGGCTTGTTTCAAAATCCATTCTTGGAAAATTTACTTTATTCCAGTACTTAATAAAACTTCATAAGCTTTACTTAATTGAGGAACTTCTTGGGACTTAATTTCTGATTTGTGGAGCACTATGAGTTTGTTGCTAATAATTTAAGCAAGTGAGATTATATGGTAAACTTGAAATAATGTTTATTGAGTCCTATGTATTACTCATTGCCAAATGCTTTTTATGCACACAGTATTTTATTTAATCCTAAAAAGGACCCCAGAATTTAGGTAATATATAGGTGGAGTAAATTGAGGCTTAGAGAGGTCAAATGATTGGCTCAATCTCACATAGCTAGTAAGCTGTAAAGCTGTGGGGGTTGAATCCATGTAGTCTCACTATAGAACCAGTCATTCTTAACCATTATACTAAGTGGTCTCTGAGTAATTTGAAGTTACTCTTTAAAAGACGCTGTCTTTCATGAAGCGCTTTTGTCTTTCTAATGGAAGTTTTTTGTTTGTGTGGGTTTTTTTTGTTTGTTTTTTACTGTTAGGTGCATAAAGAGACAATAGATGCTGTGCCAAATGCAATACCTGGGAGAACAGACATAGAACTGGAAATATATGGTATGGAAGGTATTCCAGAAAAAGACATGGATGAACGAAGAAGACTTCTTGAGCAAAAAACACAAGGTAGGTACTAAGATGTATTTTTTTTTAATATAGCTTCACTAGTAAGAGTATTATTACTACTTTCAAGTATAAATTTAATGGTAGATACTAGATGTATTCATATTTCCAATTTTGAATTTTATTTTTCTTTATATTATGCTATAAGTTATATATTTGATTTGTGTATATGATACTATTTGGATCGTTCTGTACATTTTATTTTATTTTTACTTATAACTGAATTCCAGATGGATTTAGCAAGTGTTGAGGCCTTTGAAAATGAAGGTAGCTTGTTTAGATTTATGAAACCACTGATTGTAAATTTTTTTTAGTACTGTATTTGATTTGGGATTTACAGCCCTGTTCTATCCAGATAATAGAAACTGTTATTAATTGCCTATTAAATTTTTTGTTTTGAAAAGGATTACAGAGAGGTCAGATTGGTTTATCATAATTTACCTTTTGGGGTGAAATAGAAAGCTGTTTTTTACTTTTTTAAATTTATTTTTAGTTTTTAAATTTTGGGGATAAAGGGCTTTTTTTTTAATTAAATTTTTATCCTTAATTGTGGTACTGGGGGTTGAACCCAGGACCTTGTGCATACTAGGCATGCACTCTATTGCTGAGCGATACCCTTCTGCCTCAAAAACTGTTTCCTAAAATAAAACTGACTTAGGAAAATTATTTTTACTTGCCATAGAATAGGAGAAGGATGTTGTCCTTCTTGCTTAATATAGAGTGAAAAAACATTTGAAGAGAACAGTGTTAACTGCATTTTTTGGGAAGAAAACTCTCAGGCACTAATTGCACTGAAATAAATTTTTTGAATGCTGGATGTCTTAAACTTGCTTAGTTTTTCTTTCTTTTCACTCTATTAGAAAAACTAATTAAAACTTTTTTAGCAGAGAGTCAAAAAAAGAAACAACAAGATGATTCTGATGAATATGATGATGATGACTCTGCAGCTTCAACTTCATTTCAACCACAGCCAGTTCAACCTCAGCAAGGTTATATCCCCCCAATGGCACAACCAGGACTACCACCAGTTCCGGGAGCACCAGGAATGCCTCCAGGTAGCCCATCAGGTTTCTTACAATTTAATAGATTCTTTGGTCTTTATTGATACAGTTCAGAAGTACTAATTTTTTCTTCTTAACCCCCCCTCTTTTTGGCTGAAATTCTTGTTTATAGGCATACCTCCATTAATGCCAGGTGTTCCTCCTCTGATGCCAGGAATGCCACCAGTTATGCCAGGCATGCCACCTGGGTAAGAAAACTCTTAATTGGCTTGTGGGCTTGTGCCTGGTAATCTTTTTCATCTTGGGTGTTACATGAATTAAATGTTGCTTTGTACTTTTTGCTTCTAAAAGGTATGGGCTCTATAAATATTAAGCTTATCTAATAAAGGGGTCTACTAATAAATTTAAGGAATATAAATTTGCCTCTGAAAAGAATAGAATTTGGGGTTTTAGGGTGTATGTAGGCAGCCATCTACTTCAATTGCACCTGGTGTAATTAAAGCAGTTGGTTGTAGGTTTTGAGTTTCTGAGATTCAGAACTGTCCATAACACTTTATAGTTGTGACAAGAAGCAAACTCTGTAAATGATTTATTTGTCAAATCATCAAGAACTAAAATGAATATGAGGTGCCCGTGCCCATCACTTTTACTTAAATATTGTTGGATATGAGAGGTATACAGTACACTTTCCCACTGTATTTTGAAAATCACAGTTAGATTTTGATTTTGTCATACATTTTCACAGATTGCATCATCAGAGAAAATACACCCAGTCATTTTGCGGTGAAAACATGTAAGCATCTCATTCATAATGTAATTCAGGAGGTATAATCATAATGTCATTTTCTTGTGTGTTTAATGGTATCTATTCAGTTTACTTCAGAAGTTTTCTAACTTTCCTTACTAAAACTTCTAAAATTTGCAGACTGATAGACACAGATCTCTTGAGGGAACTAAAACATCTGTGAGGAAATAGTAATAGACCCATATAAATAAGGCATTTTCTAAGTGTGCAGCTGTTTTCCTCAAACTGCTGAAAGTAATGGGACTTAGTAAAAAGGATTGGTATTAAGAAAGAATGTATATTCTTTTGCCAAATTACATACTTTATTATTATAGAAGGTAATTGAATTTTTTCTAATAAAATCTATATATAGAAGTTATTCTTCTGGTAAGGGTACTTAAGAATTCACTAACTTGTAATTTTTTAAGTGAATTGGACACTGATAATTGAAGGTGAGATTTTTTTAAGGGAAGAAAGATAAATTGGGTTATGTTTTTAAGTCATGATTTAGTGTTAGATAGCTTTCTGCTGTAAAAGGAGGCAGTCTGAGTTTACTTTTGATTATCTTTAATTATGATGGTAGTCTTCTGTGCCCCTCCAAAAAAGAAATCTTTATTCCACGGAGTACATTCAATATTTTCCTTTTGAAAAATCTGACAACTCTAAAATAGTTCTTTTTTTGTATTCTGTGGATATTTTCCAAGTGAGACAAAAGGTGATTTTGCTTTCCAATTACACATGTTTTAGATAAAATCTCTTATTTATATTGAGAGTATAATTTTTGTCCTCAATGGCTTTAAATGTATTAAAATGCACTGTTAACAAAGATTGAATTTTTTCCCCCATTTTACTGGTAAACCCAAGAGTTTGCTGGTTTTTAAGGAATTTATTTTGATAGGATTATCCTAGTGTGTTGTGTTCTTTCAGTATTAGAGGTCACATTCAAGTCTTACCTATTGTTTCAGGCTTTAGCCAAAATACTTTCTAATGTTTCATACTGTTAATTAACTTTAGTTGTCTCTTGAAATTTGCTTTCTAATAGAATGATGCCAATGGGTGGAATGATGCCACCTGGACCAGGAATACCACCACTGATGCCTGGTATGCCACCAGGTATGAAATGTTAGATAATTGCCTTTTTAATAAGGCAGGCATGTTTTATTCTTAAGTATTTTGGACAGTAGGTTTGTAGGCATTGGAACAGTGTAATTATAAAATTCCCATAGGTCAGTGACTTCTTTTTAAAAATACTGTGAGAAGTGTTATGATGGACTTCTTTCTTTTTTCTTTTTTTGTTTTGAAATAGATAGTAAAAGTACTCTTCCAAGCAACTGGAATGAGCCTATGCACAGAGCCTGTGCACTGAGGCTCACATATTTAAGGGTGGTTGTATCTGTTAGGAATATTTTAGATGAGTAATGGAGACTCTTAGCAAGTAATAGAGAAATCCAACGAACTATATTAAACAATGTAGGCATTTATTATCTCACTCAGTGTAGGAGTGGTAGATTCAGTGGTTCTAGTGATAATCAAGAACCTGTGCTTGCTTAATTTTCGCTTTGCCGACTTTAGCTTTTTTCTCCTTCGTACGTGTCACTCAGTGGTTACAAGATGACTTAAGAAAGGATGTCAGCAGTGTACACTCCTTTTAGGGAGCAAAGTAACTTTCTAGAAGCTCCTTAGCTTCTTATACATCATTGACCGGAAGTAGGTCTCATGAACCCTCTTAAGTGCAAAGGTGCCTGGGAAATAAAGTATTGACTTTATAGCCTGTAATATGGGGAAAGGGATTTGGTTAGCCCAGTAAGTGTGCCACAAAGGCCTTCATGAGGCGCTCTGAGCCCATTGCCTAGTTTTTAATCCTAGCAAGTTTGGTTTGGAATCCATAATGGAGTTGGATGTACTCAAGTGATAGTTGGTGTAAAAGGAACAGGAAAAATAAGGTAGCAGCAAAATTTGAATCATTGCCAGTGTAGCCATTAATTTGTAGACGACAGCTTTACATACGTTGTGCTCTGAGATGATTTTAGGCATTTGAAGGAATACAGAAAAATAACCAATGTTCATTTGATAATGTGAAGTCAGTAAGAGTTTTAACTTACGTTGAGGAAGTTTAAAGCATACACTAGTGGTGCATTTTAGGAAAATTTATTTAGTGTTTAAAGGAATAGCTTAGTTTCTGGATTAATATTTATAGCTGTATGTATTTATTACAGTTTTTACTATAATTTGCATTAGTTCAGGAAACATCTATCTGGTAGGTGATTGAAATAATTATCTTACATGTTTCAAAAGTTTGCTGCATCAGTAATACCAACAAGCTTAAGTGTTGCTTTACCTGTGCATGGGGTCTCAAGTGGTGTATTTCACTTCCCCAAATTCTGAAGAGACATGAAGGAATACAAAGTTTGAGGCAAAATTGTTTCAAGGGGCAAATGTCTGGAGTTCTTTGGGTTTCATGCAGTTCAGCAGTCAATTGTAGTATAGAATCTTTTTTAATACAGTACATTTTAATGGCAAAGTTTGGGGGAAATATTTTTTTCTGAACTAAATGTGTAAACAACTGGGTCCCTCTCCAATATTTCTTCTCTGCAGGTATGCCACCTCCTGTTCCACGTCCTGGAATTCCTCCAATGACTCAAGCTCAGGCTGTTTCAGCACCAGGTATTCTTAACAGACCACCTGCACCAACAGCAACAGTTCCTGCTCCGCAGCCTCCAGTTACTAAGCCTCTTTTCCCTAGTGCAGGACAGGTAAGGTGAAATTCCTGAAAAGGGGTGCACTTATATTTAAAGGTAAAGTACAGTTGTTTACTAAAATCTTTGAAATCATCATAGGTCGATTTTTTAAATTTGTAATCTTTTTAATACAACTTATTAAATATTACTAAGAAGTGGCTCTTCTATTCCATGTCTGCACATGTTGATTTCCTCTACTCATAAAAGATTGACTGGAACCAGAGATAGTGTAGTAGGTTATTTTTCATAGTTGTGAACTCTGGTTATTTTTATCTTCAGTTAGAAATGAATGTTTAATTTCTGGGAACTTCAATACATGTTTTTAGAGACCTTCCTTTACCTAATGGACTATTGAGTGGAAAGAAACCAAAGCCAGTGATGAAAATCCTGAGACCTTAGCAAATAATTTTTGGGCTCTTCCTTTAGTCTAGACTAGTGACAAACAATGCTGCACTGTTACTGGAAGGGCATCATTTAATGGCTTTTGACCTAGTCACACTTGTATTTCCTACTGGTCTTTTTTTTCCCTCAGAACTCAGAAGCGAAGATGCTTCTTTTATATATAGTATGTACGTGACTGTTGCTTTTGCTTTTTTTTTTCCAGTTTCATTCAGAATTAAGGGGATCAGGATGTATGTTCTTTGTTGTTCACCTTACAGTTACTCCTTAGATGTTTTCTTCCATTTTTTTTCTTTGTAGTTGCTAAATTAAAAGCATTACTTTTAAGTGCCTTTTAAGCACATTAACTTACGTTTTCGAGGTGGTGTGGGGGATCTGTTTATTGAGAGACGATCTTGGCAAAAATTGTATTCATTGATAGAGAATTGGATTGAAATGTCAGTAAGAATGCATCATCATTCTCAGTTTAAGATAATCAGTTTTGAAGTATCATAGTGCAGAACACATTAGTTTTAGGGGGAAAAAACCTGTGGTTAATTAGATTTATTGGTGTAGAATTGAAAAACAACTTTCTGAGGCTCATACTGTCACTCTGTTTATTGTAAAAGCAATAACTGCCTCTATATATAAAACGGATTTGATTGCATTGTATTTTGCCTTTACAAAAATGCAATCTATACTGAAAAAAAGTCTACCACATGGCTTATTTTCACCCATTTGTTTGGAGACTTTTCATTGTTTCCTTTCTTTTATGCTACAGATGGGGACACCTGTAACAAGCTCAAGTACAGCTTCATCCAATTCAGAAAGTCTGTCTGCATCTTCTAAAGCTCTGTTTCCTAGCACAGCACAAGTACGCAGGAAGTTGCAGTTTAAAATTGTTGAAATGGCTTTATAACTTAACCCTTTGGACCCTACTTTAAAACAAAATCTTTTCCCAAAAATACACTATTTAATTTTTTTAAGTACAATTAATGGCATATAAATCAATGGTTTTTGAAAATTTGAACCTCATACTAATAGAAAAAAATGTACCCCAAACTCCTATGGTTCTAAAGGGTTAAAAGCATGTAAGCAGTAAATGCATTATAGTGGCCAATGGTTAGCTTGATGCATGATTAAGCTATTCTGTTTTTTGCTGTTTAATCTAATGCATCAGATAATAACGTAAGGAAATTTAGTACTCTGCATTTGGTTCTAAAAGTTGGCCTAATTTACATGTTTCAGATGTTTGGTGTTACGAAAGGTTAACACTTTTATTACCTATAACTTTATACTTAAAAGCTCTACTAAACCCTTTTGTCCATCATAATCATCCAGCCATTGTTAATTGGGAGGGCATTGTATTAGTATATAAGGGATACTTCTGAAGGATGTGTCACCATTGATAATTGTTTATGCTATTCTTAGTAACTGAAATTCATCCAAACATTTGTATTCTGTAACTTTTTTTTTTGAGTTGGTTGATTAAACAATTTAGAGTAATAAAAATAGAACATATGCTGTTCCATTATATGATACTATATTTCATCAATTGGGAATAAATACAAAGCTTTGTAAATTGAGTAATTTTTGGCAGGGAGATAGATGACATCTGAGAAGTTACATAAGCAGTTCTTGTTTCTACTGCTGTATTTTGGATGTGCTTAAAAAGACTTCAGCATCCTTTAATAGTATTTGTTACCTTGAATTTTGTGGATTGTTTATGATGTTAACTTTGTTTTAATTTCAAGTTTGCTGTCTTGTTGAATGTTGGTGTCTTAAGTTATATTGGTAGTAAATAAATTCAGTTTTGGGTTTTGAAGTTTTGTTGATGAAAGATTGTGTTTTACAGGCTCAGGCAGCTGTCCAAGGACCTGTTGGTACAGATTTCAAGCCCTTAAATAGTACCCCTGCAACAACTACAGAACCCCCAAAGCCTACATTCCCTGCATATACACAGTCTACAGCTTCAACCACTAGTACAACAAATAGCACTGCAGCTAAACCAGCAGCTTCAATAACAAGTAAGCCTGCTACACTTACGACAACCAGTGCAACCAGTAAGTTGATCCATCCAGATGAGGATATATCGCTGGTAAGTTGTTTACATTTTTTTGCTAACAGAGTTTGAGTACTGTTGTAGCAGTGTACCCATTTAAAAAGTTGTGATTTGTATAGTGATGGTCTTATGATCTGACTGAATGCTTGCTAAGTGATATTTACTATTCTGATTTTTAAGAACCACCAAACAAAGTGAATATTGCATGTTTTGATCTTAGATACGTTCTCCCCCTTCCCTCCAGACTATTTGTGAAAGAAGACAGTAAGTTGGGTTCTTACTCTCTTAAGAATTATTTTTGTTAGACATAAATTTGGTAAATTAATTGAAGAAACAGTGAAGTGTGAGGTAGAATCTGCAGATCACTAACAGTCCGTATGCTTTCTTCATTAGACACTTTTCTTGCTGAAGCAGTTTATAATTCCTGGAATGTTGTTCAGATATCCCATGCTTCAAGTATAAAAATAGGTGAAATTTTTTTAAGGCGTCAAGATTTTAAGTAGTTGGACTGGTTTGTGGGATAAAAGTAACTGGGGTGTAACGGTACATTTAAAAATTTAGGCTTACTCATAAATTATAAAGACTTTAGATGCTTGCATTATGGTTAATGAGCCTCTGCATTCAAGTGTTTCACATTTTGCTTATTTTTATTCCTAGGAAGAGAGAAGAGCGCAGTTACCTAAATATCAACGTAATCTTCCTCGACCAGGACAGGCTCCCATTGGTAATCCACCCGTTGGACCAATTGGAGGTATGATGCCACCACAGCCAGGCATCCCACAGCAGCAAGGAATGAGACCCCCAATGCCGCCTCATGGTATTCCTCTTTTTATGTTTTTTATTATATTTAGTGGATTTTCTCAGTATACACGTAGTATTTATCTGCAAAATACATTGCAGTTAAAAGTACCACGCACAGACCAACTCAATCTGTTTTTATGTTTTAAATGTGTTTTTTAGGTCAGTATGGTGGTCATCATCAAGGCATGCCAGGTTACCTTCCTGGTGCAATGCCTCCGTATGGGCAGGGACCGCCAATGGTGCCCCCTTACCAAGGTGGGCCTCCTCGACCTCCGATGGGAATGAGACCTCCCGTAATGTCGCAAGGTGGCCGTTACTGATCTTGCTTCATCCAGTCTAATAGGTTTGGAGATTAAACCTTTTCTCAACTTGTGCTGTTTATATAGCCAAGCTTCCGTCAATAAGGCTTCATTGTGACTTTAACACATATTATCTTCCCACATACCAGGAACTATTGGACATTTATTTTACATGGGAAAAATTATTTGGAATAATAAAGCAGGAACTTTTCCTGAAGTTGCAATTTATACTGTATGGCTTCTTTTTCATGTTTCATCTAGGTTTTTAGAAGTGAAGTATAGTAAATTTGGTTCGTTATATTGTGAAGGCGCTGGAATTACATGAACATACCACCTTAATAAAGGCAAGTTCTGTAAGCTTACATTGCTATTTGTAAAGTTATGCCTTCACAGCATTTCATATGCTGTTGGACTTCATGTCCCCAACCTTGCTTGGTGAGGGCTGTAACTGTCTCCAAGTACCTGTACATTGGAAGTCTGAATGTGTAACAATATTTAATGTATTTAGAGTTCCTCATGTTGCAGGGTTTAAGAAATCTGACCCACCAAGGTCATGTGACTTTTCTGTACTGTTAAACTTCATTGTAATAAAATGAGAGAAAAATTTATGCCTTTTTATTCATAACCCAGCTGTGGACCACTGCCTGCAAGGTTTGTACAGATGCATGCCACAGTAGATGTCCACATAATAAAATTCAGTTACCAATGCAGTTTTGATATATCATTGGATTCTGTCTTTGAATTGTAGGTTCCTTAGCTGCATGTTTTAAACTGGATAGTGTATGTAGAATTGTATGTTAGTCTTATACTTGACGGAAAAACTTAGATATACATATGAGTCACTACATGGGTATGAAATCTTTATAATGTGTCACCTTTCTACCCCCTTGGTGTCAATACGTGTTAGATACCATAGATGTTTAAGATGTAAACCCTGATACTCCCTCCCTGCTGATGATGTTTAGAGCCTAGTGCCAGACCCACTCATTTCTTGTTGATTGTTTTTGAGACTGCAGTACTTTGTGGACCTCAGAAGCTTGTCAGGTGCAAAATTCTAGAAGCTTAGGTGCATGCAGTAATAATAGCCTTTTGTGCTGTTAATGATTAGCATATATTCTAAGTGTATTGACAAGAATCTAAATGTGCCTCTCTTAGGATGGTTAACTGATGGATTTGAAATTTATTTGGTTTCTGGAAGATTACATTATTTCTTTGATTAAATGGCTACCTTTTGTTCCTGTTCAGCCTAGATGGCTTTCCTGTTAACCTTTTCATCCTTGGAAATTCAAATGTTAAACTGTGTTCCTGTGAAGAACTTTTCTGTAGAGATGACTACTATTATTCAGTATCTTGTGTTGCAGGTGTCATTTAATAGCTCTTGTTGACCTCTTTTTTTGCATCCATTTTTTTATCTTTTGCAGAGTAGTTTTATTATTAAGTATCAAATGGCCTGTACAAAGTATAATAATATAATGAATTCAAGTTCCTTGGTGTAAAGTTAAGACTTCTAAGAAAATAATGTTTTTTTGTAACCTTTTTGGGAAGGTGTAGATAGGAGATATAGAATCTGAAGTTTTGTTAAAAGAAAAGCTTTAACTTTAAAAGAAAATATTGAAAAATATTTTAATCGTAAAAATGTCTGTGTATAAACGACAAGTAAAAGTCATTCATTTAAACAAAATATTGTAAATATTTTAAGCTGATTGCTATTTTTAAATGTATTTTGCTCCAGTGGTTTTATAGCTCCTGGGCTGTGGTACCGTTGAGGTTGAGAAATTTTCATAGTTTGAAAGGCAACATTCATGTATCACTAAGAATGTATTTCTTCCTTCTGCCAAGCCCCTACCCCTTTCCCAACAAACACCTGCCTACCTAAATAGTTTTAAAATTAATACCTTAGATTTGACAGCACATATATCATACTGTCAAAGATTTGTGTTGAAAATCTTTAAGGTAAAAATGGCATTATTAAATTTAGAATGATTAAATAGGAATTGTTCTGCCAAACCGAATGTCTCAAGCATTTCATGTACAAACTACAAATGGATTACAGCAGTTGGGGAGAGAGAATAGGAAGAGGAAAAAATGTGTTAGTAATGTTTCAGATGTTATCCAAAGCATGATTTGTATTTAATGGAAAGAGAACCAATATACCAAGGTCTGTTGTTTTCTGAGGTCTGAAAAGAGAAAACATTGCTACTTTTAAGTAAATGATAGAATTCTGGTTAAAAGTTAACTCAGAATGTTATGCTTGGCACTTTAAAAACTTAAGCACACCATCTCTTACAGTTTAGTATATGGCTCAGGTGGTGCCCATTTGGTATATTTAATGTGTAATTTTTGCATGCATCAGAACATAATTAAGCTTCTAGAAAATACTTTATACCTAACTGCTTCTGGGGTCCATAGTGTGGTTATCACAAGTGGAACAAATTATGTTGAAATAATTAACTCTTACTTTGACTTAACACTTTCTTAAGTGATAAATGGGGTTGAGTTGAAGTAAACTTCATTGGCCCTCACAGAAGACTGCTTTTGGGACTTGGTATAGGCAGGCAGGCATTGTGATGTCACAATTTAGAAAGTTATAAGATTAATTGGGCTGCCAGCTTTGGCTCTACCTTACATCCACTGTTACCACTTAAAAAAAAGTTTTTGTCTGGCACTAGTTTCTACTGTGTAGCTTTTATTACTGTTACCACAATAACAAGACCAGCAGGTGAGGATCGACTTTTGAGTGGCCGCTGGAATATCATTTGGTTTTATTAATACTTAGTATTTTAGTAATCTCTCACACATTTACCATTAAGAATCAGGTAAATATTCTTTAAGTACTTCTGTTCCACTGATCAAGTTGCATATTGAACTTAAACTCAGTTGAGTTAAATTTAGTTATTTGGAGGGCAGAGATTCCCAATAAAACTATGGGCTCAGAATCGAATTACAGTGACAATAGTTTTTTTTTTTTTTTAAGAGCTGCTCTTTTTTCCTTTGCTTGCTTGATCATTGGGATTAAAAAAAAATGCATGTCTTTTAAATTAATTGGGTAATGTTTTTCTAAAATTAAAATTTTCTTCTTCCTATAGCCCTGCCATAGGACAGGCTGAGGCTGAGTCTCAGTGTTGCCCTGTTCAGTCTGAGGCAAGTGGGATTTATTTTATTCCTTATAGGGGCTTTCACAGCTTTATGGCTGTTGGATATTTATGTCCCCAAACTTGCAGCAAGTTTGGTGAAGGCCCCTAAATTTAATTAAATTTAGGATTTTTATGATCTTTTGGCAGAGAAGGCTCTATATTAATATTCACGTTTGACTGTGGTGTTAATAAAAAGTATTTGATACATGTAATTTTATGTAATTATCTTGTGTTACATAATACTTAACAGCCTCAGTAAGCTGGTATTGTTGAACTTAAGTAAATTGACAAAATTTGATGTTCTTGATTTGGAGGCATGAAATGTTTTTCAAATTATCCCTTTTACTTTTAGGAAAAATCTTACTGGTTATTTTCTCCTTAAATTTAACCTCAAGGATAAGTTTAACATTGGAAATGCCACTGGATACTGAAATCTGCATTTTTAATCCCAAAGTTATGCATTGAACATTACGGTTTTGAAATGTCATCTGGAAATGCTTGTGATTTTTAATATTTTCAAACTTCACCACATTAGAGCAAATGTTAATGTAGAGCCCTGTGAAGAGTGGGAAGATGGTGTGTGTCTGGTATATATGCATATACACTACACATTGGATATAATAAAAAAGAGTTTGGGTATTACAGACCTACCAGAATGGATGGATTACTTTTTCAGGCAGTCAAACTGAAATTGTATCACATGGTAAAGTTAGTATATTGAACAATGGTTTTGGGATGAGTATTCTAAGTTTTATTTTATCCATACTGAGCAATATTTGATGTAGTATGCACACATGAAAAGAATTTATGTTTGTTTCCAACTAAAAATTGCTTATTTTGTTTTTTATGTATATATGTTGTTGGAGGCAGGTAAAGAGGGAACTGGAAGGGAGGCCAGAACAAACTTGGATTACTTTTTGTTCCTTCCTGTGTTAAAGCCATCATTCTATGCAGATAGCATTTTCCTCTGAACAGTAATGGTTAACATATAGTAAAGTGTTTAGCAAATCCAGGCTTGTGTTTCTATGCAGTTTTAATTCTTGGAAGCATAAAGAAAAAATATGCATTAAATGAATTCCAAATTTTCACCTGTGTAATTAGAACATGTTTTCTCTGTTACTGAATCATGGAAAAAAGATTTTAATGTTTTTAAGAATTACATCACAAAAAAAAATACCATTGGAATAGTTTATAACTTGCACCTTTTAAGACTCTTAGTTGGAGGTGTTTTCTTTTGCATCCACCATCCCCTCATATTCTGAAATATTCAAAAGTGAAGTTGATTGTCCTAATTCTAAAGTGATTGTTGAAATAATTATAATTGAAATACACAATTACACACTTGATTACTGGGTTGGGAGGGATTTTCAAAGGGTGACTGTTGAAGGTGATATAGATATCTTAAGATGTAGCTTCTTTGATCGCTGTAGTTCTGTGACTCAGAATAATAATTTTGAGAATTCCTTAATTTTTCAGGTGTCTATTACGTCCACTGGTATAACTTAGTAAACTGCTAAAGGGAAATGTTGAAGCCACTTCTTTACTGAGATAAAATTTTGAGTAAAAACTGACACTTGTTTTGGTAGGGGATTTTGAAAAAAAAAGTAAACATGTACCCTAAAATTTTGTGTGAATCAGATATGTCTCTTTTAAAAGGTGGTATTTATCTACCTAATATTGCATAACCTTTGTATGTTACTCCAAAATGAAACTGATTCTTACTGTAACTTGGAAGTCTTCTAAAAGAAGGAGTTCATTATAAATAAGACTTGACTATTAAGACAGATTTTTGTAAGTAATCATTCTCCCAATTATACTTCTGCTTGTTATCTCATTTGAATATTAGTGTAGGTACTCCTATTAGCCTTCTTAATATTTTGTTTTGTGTAATCTGAATCACTATAATAAATAACCTTTTTTTTATAGCATAGGAATCATTTAACTTTTCTGTGTGGTATTTCTTGGCAAAATAAAGTTACTTTAATGATGTGTAGTATGCACATAGTGGATATCCACAATTTTGTAATTAATGTTGAATTTTCAGAACTATACTTTTTAGTATCTTGGTTCTTTAGACATCCCCTATCATGAATCTAATTCAAACTAGTCCACAGCAAATGGGGAAAGCAGGACCTCAGCTTGAGCTCCCTAATCCTCTAAATATCTTCAGCAATTCCGAATTCTTTCATGTTCTTGTCATTTTTGTTGAAAAGTAAGTTTGAAAGAAGCTTTTTTTTTTTTTTTAAACTAGACTTCTTCATTAAGGACTCAGAGAATTGCTTTTTATAAGCATTGTTTTTTCTGCTCTGGGCTTCATACATTTTTGCATAATTGGCCATGAAAGGAGGAGCCTTTCAGTTTCTTCCCAGCTCTGGAAAAATAATAGTTTGATACCAGTTTGAAATTTCTGAGTGACCTCTCTTTTAATCTGTTCAGTTAATCTCATGCATTCTCATAATCAGGATGTAGAAATCATACTAAAGCAGAAATGGAAGACCCAAAGGAGATCTTCACTGAAGCTAATTCGAATTATTTCTATTTGAAGCAAATTGAACAATATTACAAATGATGGATTTATGGTTAAGTTCTTTAGGAGGCATATGATCACTTGCTATATTAGGAGAATATGTTTGTGAATATGTTGTAATTTTGGTCAGATTTAACTATAGAGAAGATGCATGTGAGTAAACTTTATTAAAAATGATTGCTTGGACCCCAGCCATTAATTCCAAATGCTGTAATGATGTGAGGTTGTAATACAACACAGCTTCAGTAATGTGCTGTGCTTCTCCCAGGGGTTTGTGTAATGCTTTGTTTATAAACCAGGGGTTGAGGGGGGAGTCCTTTTTTCTAATTCTCTAGGCCCTTTAGCTTTCTTGTGTCTCATTTTTGTTTTGTTTTTGAACCATTAATACAGTTAAAGGTCATATGCCTTCACATTTGGTTAAATACAAGGAACTGGCAGTGAAATTTATTGATGCCCAATGTGGATAAAATGAATGTTTTCCCAGCTTACTGTATACAGAGTAGTAGTGATTATTTAGGAGAAAAGCCATTCATTGGCCATTGTATTGTTAGACCCTAGATGTAATGAAAGGTAGCAACATTCTGCCCTTGGTTTGCCTGTGTTAAGGCTTCACCAAGTCATTTGTTATAATGTAGTTTATTCTTAGCGTTTTATTCATAAGTAGTTCCACAGTCATTCAGAGATGAAACTAAACAAAATTTGCCACATCATTTTCTAGTCTCTACTAATAGAACAAGGCTGCTTAACTATCCAAGTAGACCAAGGAAAGAGTTACTAAAGTTTCTGTAAGTTTGAGTTAGAAAAATACGGGATATACACTTACTGAGCAAAGCCTCCCTTTTAGCTGTTAGCTTGTTAGTGTACTTCTGGAGGAGCAATAGAATTTACTTTTCAGCCCATGTTTTTTAAAATTGAAAATCTTAAATGAAGTCAGGTATTTTGGAAATTCAATTTAAAGTGTTAAAAATTGTGTATCTCTGTGGGATATGGCTACATACACTTAAATTAGAAATTCTTGTGCAGAGATTTTTTTTTCCTAGTTATATGTGCCCCCCTTTTAGAGTAACCCAAATTTTTGTAATGCACATATTGGAATACATAGTTTATTAAAATTGAGATGTGTCCAAGAGATACGCAGTGTCTTTAACTCATTCTCTAAGGTCACTCTAAATTTAATAGCCAATGTAAGGTAATTTTTGTAAGATTTAGGGAAAATTTTTTTAAGTGTATTAATGTCAGGCTCTGAGGAATTTAATGCACATTGACTTTTTAAACTATGAATTGAACTCCTCAGTTTAATACAATTTGTGTTTTTGTTAACTAGCAGCAGAATTTCAGCATTTGCTACTTACTGGTAGAGAAGAAAAATCCCACAGCCCTGCCAGTACAGGTTAGTTTAATCTGTAAGTACCTGATGTTCCTATTTTTTTCAAACATATACATATAACCCACACAAGGAAGAAAGCTGTGCAGTTACTTAAATGTGAGTACAACTAATAGTAGAACCATTGGACACTTTCAAACACTTGATACTTGGGCCGAAGTAGGTATAGGTTTGCTCACCTCAGTTGTAATAAAGGTGTAATGCTACCCCTTTATTATGTGGTTATGGTTGAACCTAAATAGATACATTGAATATAGAAGGAAAAGGCAGTGAAAGTTTCCATTGGCTATATATATGCTTATATTGGTATGATACGGAGTGCAGGGTTTGGGTCCAGGGTCTTCTACTTAAGCCACTCCTGTGGTGGTACTCATATTTACCTTTAAATTTTTTACAGTTCAAATCAACCTAAGACAAAAGTCAAGTTTCCTCCCCTCTAGCAGTCATGAATGGTGT